ATGAGTTTGCTTGTACGTCCCGGTTTAACTGAGCCGAGTATTATTTTTTTCTATTTCACGATCTTAAATTTCATCGTTAACCCCTATGTCTATTAGGCGTTGTTTTTGCTATGTTTCAAAAGCGATAGCCTAAGTAAAAGCACAAAAGCAAGTATTAATTAATACGGTTCAGTTTTTGGAACCGTGATCTCGTGAAGTTGTAAGTGGTTAATGATTAATAACATCGTTAAAATGCAGACCACCAGTTAGCCAAAACAAGAGTTTGTGGGTCTTCTATTGACATCGAAGTAAGGGGTCAAGAAGTCCTCTATTGCCCACTTAATTCTTCGACTACGATAACATATTTTCAGCTCAAGAGCATTTTGTAAGTGGTTATATGATAGTCATGGAGCACAGCAAAACATGACTTTGAATTCTCGTTTGGGGCCCAGTTATGATTCATTATGAGAGCAACTTTGAGCGCAATTGACCGTTGTACTCGAAATGAACTTTTTAAATATTCTCCTCTGGACTGTCACAATATTCGTGGAAGGTAAAACCGGGAGATCATCCCAAGCAAGAGATTCTTCCGGTATGTATATCGAAACCAATATTACAAAACAGCTACATGCATTACAACAGGACAATTCCAGACAGTTACATCTAATAAGTCAGTTTAAACAGCACTTATTTTGATAACATTAACGTAAGCCTTAGCAATTTATTTATTGCATCCGAGATATCAAAAATGCATAAATTTACAGCCGAAAAAATAAATAACAGATTTTAAGCTCTTGGATTGAAGAGCTCGATCTTAACAAGACCAACAATAGTTGCAGATCTACATCTGCAGAAACCGTGTTTTATTAGTAGCGAGATATTCTCGAAAACGCGATTCACAGTAATAGAAGTTACTATAACCGTTATGCTGTAAAAAGCCATATCAAAATTGAAAATAATTTACCTGCTCATGCCAAACAAGAAATTACTCGTTTACAAGTACAGCGGCATATGGTAAGCAGCAAAAATGAGAGTTTTGCCGTTGACTGGAAAGGCAAAAACTCGACGATTAATTCCTCTGATATCTTTGCTAGAGACGAATTTTTGAAGAGGTATTCAAAAAAACGAAAGATATTGC